TGACACTAGGTTGTGTGAAAGGCATTTTCCTTATGAAAATGACCATTCCTTCTCCCTCTCCTAGCATTCTGTCAAGTTTTTTTATAACATCTTTTGCTTGTGCCATTTTAGATAAATAAAAGGAAAGCTTGAACAACATAGTCTTCCAAAGAATTTAAGCCTAGTACATATGTGTGTGGGCTGCTTCGGCTGTTCTCTGCTCTAACTTGGATGAAAAAAAAAACCATAAAAAAAAAAAAAAAAGGGAGGGAATAGGGGGGAGGTGGGGAGGAAAGACAGAGGAGGTTATTCAGTGATACAAATGTAGAGTACAGATGTGGATTCAATTATGCCATGTAATAGTTGTGTTTCTGAGGTTTACCATCATTTAACTTGCATAAACAGACAAATCTTAGTGAAGATCTCAGTAACCAGAGAAATGCTAACAGCTTCCAGGCACCACTAGCCTTTCAGACAAGCAGTGACTTCCTCAGGAAGAGCTGGAAGCAGCTGCAGCAAGACTAGTATGAAATATTTCCACCAATATCAATTGACTCTTCTGTCCAGAGTGTCCAGACTGATAATACCTTGTGCTGTGATATGGATTAGATGTCCTCAGAGATCGCTGTGGATTCTTTTGATTTTTGTTCCAGAAACTTCATCTATGCTCTCTTGTTCTGTTTTCCACTCTACATTTAGTATAACAGGCACTGAAAGAGCTTAAGCATGCTTGTGAAGGTAGAGGATGAAGTAAGGAGGAGGCTGAGCAGCAACTTTGCAAATCCAATCAGCCAGGCTACCTCTTGTCAGTACTGAAAGGCAAAATGCAGTTTAACTTCATTTAGACTAGACAGTCCTTACTGTGAAAGATTGTTTCCTTTTTTGATCACTGACCTACTGACAGGAACAGAGCTTGCATGCATTGAAGCAGGCAGTCCTTTATTTTTTTTAAAGTATTGATTTTTATTTTTTTTTCTTTTTTTGCTGCTATCCCTTTATTCTCTGTCTATGTAAGCTTCTTCCTTCCAAGCACTTCATGCATCCATTTCAGTTGCCCAGACCCCCTTCTTTCCTCTTCCTTTTCAGATTTCTGTTTGTTCCTCATCCTGTTCTTCTGTAACCCTGGATTGTCATCCTCATTTATCTCTCGAAGAACAAAGTAATTCAAAATGCTGCAACTGTGTCCCTAATCTGTGTGACCATTTAATCTTTCCTTTTATCTCACCTTCCTTTCGGTTTCTTCACTCGTGGTGGATTCTTACCATATGGAGAAATGAGGACTGAAGGTTACTTCCAGGAGAAAAAAAAAAAAAATTCCCCCTCTCTTTTTCCTCCTAGCTGTTCTTCTGTAGAATTATTAGTATCCAGTTGAATTTAAGACTGCTTTGTAAGTTTTTGAGAAAATCTTTCCTCTGTCAGAACCAAATAAAATTGATCTACTGGAAAATGTTGCTTATTCTTTGCTGCAGCAGCAATGATTTATACACTAGAAAAGACTTAAAGCATTAATCCAGAAAAGAAAAGTGGTTTGAAAGCAGAGTGGCCATGCTGCAGGCAATGCCTTACCTTCTGCTGCTGTTTTGCTGACAAGGAGAGAAAACAGGACAGTAATAGCATTTGTCTTATTTAATATTTTAAAATATGTAAATATGGAAGAAATTATCAATTATTTGAAACATGAGCAGTATACTTTGCCAGCATTTTAAGAGGGGGCTCTTTTAACGTATTTTTAATTGTGATCTTGCACTGTATTAATTTAAAATCCAGGTAATAAAGGAGAAAGTATAACTACTACAACAAATAAATCTCCCAGTTCCTTATATTTATGTTGAAAGACTTCCACCAAATCAAAACATCCAATTTTGAAAATAGAGATCTGACTATGCTACTCAGTAAAACCAGAACAACAAATAATAATAATTATAATGTATTTTGCCTCAGATTTTCATCCATCACTTAGATACTAATAATCACAGCAAAATACTATTAACACGTTAACACATTTCCCCTTTGTATGTAGCTACAAATAACTGATCTTTTTGCAACACAGTCCCACAAAGTGCATTCCTGCCTAATTTTCTAGCTGCTGTTTTTCTGGCTCTCTTTAGAAAGTTTCTTGTATAAAAATGATTTTGGCTAAACTTGGGACCTAACATTTACATTTGAATAATGAGAAATTGTTGTATTTGTTTAAGAAAAAATCTTTGTCAATACTTGTGTTCTCCAAGGAGAATATGATAGGCCCTGATATAACTATTTTGTGGAAGAAGCAAGATCTAATTGATCAGTCAGAATTTCTTTTTGAGAAAAACACTGTTTTGGCAGTCATAATAGTTGCATTCCTGAAAGTGAACAAGAAGATAACTCTTTTACTGCCTTTCCTATCTTTCGGTATAAATACATGCTGCAAATGAATACAGTCCAAAATTATATAAGCAAGTTTTAAAGAAAGAGATTGCAGTCATTAAAGAGGATATTGAATCAGCCTTTTCAATGTAATGGAAATTTCCAGCCCTTTCAGTGTGTTTTTCCTTAGTGAAATATGGCATTAAAAGAAGTAGATGTCCATCTTAAATGATACAGCTGTCACATGCTACTGAGGCAAACTTGAACTGAAAGATGTATAGGTTGCAGGACTAGGGTGACATGTTAAGAGTACAATGTAGCTCATAAAAAGATGTCCATTTAATGTTTTTAACCTAGCAACACTCTGGATCTTTGTTTAGATACATGTATGGGATTTTTACATTAGTTTTTTTATTGTTTTGATATGGATTTTGCAGCTATCCACTTTATCATTTTAGGCAATGATTTGTTTAACTAAGTAGATCATCTCAAAAGTATTCATTAACGTGTCATAGAGTCACCTATGAGTCACTGAAAGTGGTCATCATGTGTGACTATGGATCTGAATCTTGGTGAAATAAATTCTTGTCTATTATGTAGCAAAGAGTCTGTAGAAATTTTCAACGTCACAACAAATTGTGTTATTAAATTCTTC